TCTTTTGTTTTATTACCTTGTACTTGACTGCAACATATAATCCAAGAAATTCCAATATCTGAGAATATAGTCCGCTGTTCACAACCTGTATGGCTATAAGATAATGCTGTGGTGTCGCAGATCATAACTTTCACATCCTGGTATAAAAGCAGTCAGTGGTATCCCTTTATACTGTGTGTTTTATCTTCATTCATCTTTACAGCTGAAAAACATGAAGACAGCAATTCTAAAAACAGTGAATTTCGTCTTAATATGCATGACTGGTTGCTGAAGCTTTGCAGTATATTGGATGTGTTGGGATAAATGCCAATGTAGAGTGTATTGATTTAAATCTCAACCCATCGAACAAATATTGTTCATCAATCACATCCTTATTTACTCTCTATCCAATCAATGCATACAGATAGTGTATTAGTATAACATTAGTTACATAACCGAGCATATGTGTTTGAGTCCTGTAAGATTTTACAAGAACTTGATTTGAGTAATACCTTAAATAGGAGAGTCTCCCTCCTGACCAATCTTGCCTCAATGGATACAAACTCGCTACTCAGAAGGATTCCTATACTGCTGTGGAGAACTCGTAATAGCAGCTCTGGCAATGAACTTAAACCGGATATGTAGGGTCAACAAATTAATTTAATATCATCTTGAAAGCAATTTTGTTAATTCTTTAGCGGCAAAGATATTGCATTACAGAATGTGGTTAAATCAAATAAACTTGTGGCCTGAATGTTGATTTCGTTTCTATTGATTTTTTGTTTAAAAACATGGCTTACGCACTGCTTTATTACATATGTCATCTCTGACTGAGATTACAAATTAAGCATTCAATTGTAATTGTTGTCCCTGTTGTATTACATTTTTGTTTTTGAGAAATAAAAGGAAAGAATTTTAAAGCCCCACCTAAACTATTATGTTAATCAGGAGAGGTAGGTACAAACAATATCGAAGCAAATGTGTGACATATACACAATAGGGGTACCACGATACGAGAAATTGAATATCGATACGTATCTACGATACTTACCTCACGATACGATAGTACGAACGATACGATACAATGATACATCGTAAATTGAAGTAAAACCGAACTTTATTTAATTTTTCAATCTTGTAAAGCCGGAAGTACTTCAGCCGGATTACGTTTATTTCACATCACGACAAATAAAGTTGTAAAATATGCTAACATCGATTAAAACATCTTAACGACGTGTGGTATTCGAGAACTAGAGGGGCAAACGAAGGTGGCAAGCAAGATATTTAATACTATGACTGTCTGTCATCGCTAAGCGCCAAGTTTTTCCCTTCAAGAAGGGACTTCCGGTCAGAAAACGATACGACCGATATGTATCGATACAGCTCGTATCGGAGGTGAATTACTCGAGCGCTCGAGCACTCGAGCGCTCGCGGTACCCCTAATACACAAATTTCGAAGTAAATGCGTGACATATTCAGAATTTGCCTGAAAAGTCAGTACTGAATGCATGCTGAGTACAAATTTGTACTGAAAAGTGTACTAGTTTTGTTTCAGTACAAATTCAAGTATATTTATATACTGAAAAATACACTGAATTTTAAGTACAAATTTAAGGATAAATATGTGCTGAAAAATGTACTGAATTTTAAGGACATCTTTTCTTTAAGTACAAAAAATATACTGAAAAATGTGTTGAAAATTTAAGGATAAATTTAAGTACAACCAGAGCAACGGCAACGCCAAAGCATAGCGAATCAAATCGAACAGAAATGGCTGGCATTTTTACAAACAAAACATATAGCAAATATCATAAAATAACGATTAAAAATGACGGCCATTTTTTAAAATGGCCACCTACTACTCGAAGTGTCATGAGACAGTGTGCAAGGCTCATAAGTATTCACATATCAAATATGAGCAAAATCGCTCCACTACTTTTCGAGATATAGTAAAAAACGTAAAAAATGGTGGCCATTTTTCAAAATGGCCATCTACTACCCAAAGTGTAGTTAGACAGTGTGCCATGCTTATTTATAGAATTCACATATAAAATATGAACAAAATCGCTCTACTACTTTTAGAGTTATAGTAAAAAAAACGTAAAATAACACACGTAAAAATGTTACAATGTTTCAAGTTACAGCAAAAATCGTAAAATGATGGGCAAAGGCAGCCATTTTTCAAGATGGCTGCCATGTATTTTTTCTTTTTTTACATTCCAGCTTAATCAATGTCCTATATATTGCTATTACAGTTTTACATGCAGTACCTGAATTACTATAAAATCTGCACTAAAATGGCCACCATTTTTAAATGAGTGACCATTTTGAAAATCGGCTTTCGAGCAGAACTTTTACCCCCATAGGGTAAATGTGTACAAAATATGAACACAATTGGGCTAACGGTATTTGAGTTATTGCCCGGACGGACGGACAGACGTACGTACGGACGGAGGCGTTCCCGATATCCCTCCGAACTTCGTTCGATGGGATAAATATATACTGAAAAATATACTGAAATTTAAGTGCAAAAGTAAGTATAAAAATGTACTGAAAAATAAACTGAAATTTTAAGATAATGTTAAGTATCAATATGCAATTGACCAATAAGGAGATGATCACACCTGGTTGGCCCAGGGTAGTTAATAAATTCTCATAGTCTCTGGTACCAAAGGTCAAAGTATTAACTTCTTTCATAGAATTTCCACTTATCTCCCTGGGCCAATTGTTGGATTTACACTAGAGTCCTAAGACATCTTGGCCAAAACGTTTTAGCGTTAAAATGTTTTACAAATGTAATGTAAATCCAGATTTTCTCAAGAGCTCTCGGCTAAGAGCCCTTAGCTAAAACGTTTTTGGACCCTAGTCTTAGCCAAGATGTCTTAGCGTTAAAACGTTTTACAAGTGAGTGTAAATCCATCAGTTTTAGCTAAAAGCTCTTAGCCCGTTTTTTTGCGTTGCGCCGAACCAAACATTTGAAACTTCCCATTTACATATGTCGCATGGTCCTTGCTTTTGTCTTATCCCTTGTTCCCAATATCATCCCAAAATTATTGAGAAGAACGTATTTGCCTGGCGATTTATCATTATCCTAATTTATGCATAAAATCTTCCTGCTCTCTTTCATGCTTTTAACAATGCTATCTTTAGGACATATTTTTGTGAAACCGATGCATTCTTTAGTACAAAGTATAGAAGCGGGAAAGGAATAGCTATATCGACTGAACCGTCCTTCAACCAGTACTGAACTGCTTTTTTCATTTTACATGTATACCTACATATCTCTAAGACGTTTTAGAAAAACATGTGTAAACTCAATCATATTTCGCAAGATGTCTTGAAAATGGTGGTGTAAACTCAACACAATTTTTCTAAAACTTTTTAGCTAAGATGTCTTGGAATACCGCGTGTAGTGTAAATAGGGCTAATATGACACTTTGAGGAGATTATCCATGGTTGATTATGGTTGACCATGCCCAGAGGGGGGGGGTTATGGCCAATAATTACTTCAAAATCCTGAAGTTTTGCACCGTTTAGAGCATATGTCAAATGATTTTGACCATTTTAACCCTCTGGAATTTTTCAAAAAAAAAGTGAACCCCCTTTGGGTAAACATGCTCTGTAGGGTTGTTTGAATCAGCATGTCGATTAGATCTAATGAAAGGATTCCATATATTTTTACTAGATATATATAACAACCATTTTGAACAAATATCAGAAAGCATCAACATCGGCCTCCCTTTCACTACTTAGATCAGTACAAACTCACCCGAGGGCTTGCCCGACCCTCCAGACAAGCCCCTGTGACCCATACAGTATGTAATTTGTAAATACCTTGAAGAATAAGTGCAAAATGTATATTTTATTATCGTTTATTAAAATTCAAAGTCTTTTAGTCAAAGTCAAGCTAGTTTCCTAAAAACTCCTTTTTCTTGTTTTTGTTCAGAATGCACAAGAGAGAGGGTCTAAAATATTATTTGAAATTTTTTGGGGGGCATGATCCACGCTTCACACACCACCCTATGCAGACAGAGCCTGTGGGAAATATTGGGTGCGGCGCAAATGAGCGGAGGGTGCGGAGCTAACGGTCATTTTTGAATTTAAAATTGGGATATTTCTGAAACTAAGCCGTTTTGGGACTTCAAATATACCAAGATATGTGTATTTGACACCAAATATCAATAAAATTGTGAAAATAGTAGTGCAATTCATTTTATAGCGACGCAGTATGCCTTAAACATTTCCCAGACCTATATATTTTGAGACTATCCTTTTAATACTGCGTCCCCAGCATTCATAAAAAATGGTGTTCAAGATACACTACCCATGCAAATTATTTTTGCATCTTGGAAGCCAGGCAGTATCTGTGTGATTTTATAAAAATTTGAAAATGTTCTTCAGATATGAGCCCCTCTAAATATTGGGTGCGGAGCTACTGTACGTTTATGGAGCTGCTCCGCACCCAATATTTAGAGGGGGCTCATATCTGAAAAAATTTCCGAATTTTTATAAAATCACACAGATACTGCCTGGCTTCCAAGATGCAAAAATAATTTGTATAGATAGTGCACCTTGAACACCATTTTTTATGAATGCTGGGGACTCAGTATTAAAAGGATAATTTCAAAATATATAGGTCTGGGAAAGGTTTAAGGCACACTGCGTCGCTATAGAATGAATTGCGCTACTATTTTCACAATTGTATTGATATTTGGTGTCAAATACACATATCTTGGTATATTTGAAGTCCCAAAACGGCTTAGTTTCAGAAATATCCCAAATTTAAATTCAAAAATAACCGTTAGCTCCGCACCCTCCGCTCATTTGCTCCGCACCCAATATTTCCCACAGGCTCTGTCTGCATAGGGTGCACACGACCGATCCATATCTTACTTCCTGCGAAAGCTATTTGGATTTATAAGTTTCAAAATCTAACATGGCTCGAAGTGAGTAATCCATATCCAATCCATATTCTGACCACAGGCCCAGGAAGATCTAAATCCCCAGTCACTGTATACTGAGACGCCCCTGTAATGTGGTTCATAGTAAAAGAAGATTAAACATATACCTCTTATATCTAAATCCGCTTGATCAGAATCAAAATACGGCATTTTCCAATTTTATATTTCCCACCGGATGTAAGTGGGGATTTCATTACCCACAATGCAACAAAGCGGAAGTGAAAATTTTCCAGAAAAACAAATGAGACACGAATGGCTAGTTATAAAAATGCTGTTTAGACACAGTTATATAAGGTATCACTCCAATATAACAATGCGGAGTAGAGATAGGATCCCATTTTCTATTTTGATCATAAGTATAAACGTTCTTCTGAATCCATTTCTGCAAATTGTTGATGCAAAGGAGAGCAGTGGAAGATTCTTAAAAGTGACTGAGCAAATGTTAGGTAACCTGAACACCTTTCAAAGGAATTATGGTGTTGCAGTTTCTGATGTTGACAATGATGGAGAGTTGGATTTCATTGTTGCTGGCTTTTCTGGACGGAATTTTGTATTGAAATATAATACAACAACAAGCCAGTTGGACAATATCGCTCAGCCGGGTACTCCATTTGAAAATCTCATGGATGTGAAAGGACAAGCTATTGGTGTATGTGCCTGTGACATAGATGGAGATGGGCGAGAAGAGATATACTTTTTAAATACAAATCAAGCATACGCTGGAGTCTCTAGCTATGGTGATAAACTATTCAAATGGAGTGATAATCAGTATATTGACCTATATGAAGACCCAGTGAATCGTAACATGAGTGTGCAGAACTATGCTGGTAGATCCGTAGCTTGTATTGATCGCAATGGAGATGGGACATATGGTATAGCTGTTGCAACATACTCTCAAAATGGGCAGGGAAACTTTGCATTTGTTGAGGTAGACAGCAAGCGTAAAAACACACAGAATGATGGCATACCCTTGAGGGATATTGCGAAGGAAATAGGCATTGATATTTCAACTGGTGGAAGAGCTATTGCAGTTGGTCCTATTGTGGGCCAAGATGGAAAATCAGATATATTCTTTGGAAATGAAGGCAACAGACATTTAGGAAATTCTGGAAAGAACTGTCTGTTCAAAAATATTGGCAATGGTAGCTTTGCAGATATCGCTACTATATCAGGTGTCAGCGATGTAACTGAAGCAGTTAGAGGGATTGCTTTGGCTGATTTAAACCGTGACAAACAACTTGATATTGTGTATGGAAATTGGATTGGATCTCATAGAATATATATTCAAACAACTACAGGTGGTGACATTAACTTTAAAAATATTGCAGAGGGTGACTATGAGAAGCAGAGTGCAATTCGCACCGTATTAGCTACTGACTTTAATAATGATGGAATCACAGAGATATTTATGAATAACATTAAGAGCTACAATACTCCTCAACCTAATAAACTATTTGATGTGATTCTTGATAGACTTGATAAAAACAGCATTGATATTAAAAGCATTGATGTTGGTGATGCAGAGGAGGCACAAGGGTTTGGCACAGGTGGAGCATATACTGATGTAGATAATGATGGGATACTTGAACTGCTTTTATCTCATGGTGAAAGCAATGCTCAGCCTTTAGAAATATACAAGGCAAAAGACACAGAAAACAATAGGTGGATCAGAGTTCGTCCTTACACAAAGTTTGGAGCACCTGCTAGAGGAGCAACTGTGACTCTCAAGAGCACAGAAGGTGAAGAACATTTACAAGTGATCGATGGGGGTAGCGGGTATCTCTGTCAAATGGAGCCTGTTGCACATTTTGGATTAGGCACCACAATAGAGCCATTGATGATCACAGTACAATGGCAGGATGGAGAGACAGTTAAACTTAAACAACTTGACCACTCTAGTATTAACAAAGTTCACCATGTTAAACATCCATTTCATAAACCAAGCAGTCACATTAAGATTGTCAATGCGACATTCACAACAGAAGTGAAACATGAAGAACTGTAGTCATATTATGACTTTTTGAGAAATACTGTTCTGTTTTTTACCATATACATTTTTTGAGGCAAGATATTTTCACATATTCTCATGAGGATGCTATTTTTGCCTATTAAATGATTAATGGAATTTTAACAGCATCTTAACATACCACAAAAACATATCAGTCACACAGGCAAGAGTCAGAGAGTCTTAGTTTATTCAAAGGATGTTTGACTCCAGTCTGTGAATGCTGGTTTCTAGTTTAATGAACAGCATTACGATTATTATTCATAATTGCTATTGTAATTTTATTGTGTGTACTGTAAATAAATTATAAGGGAAACTATAAACACATTGTGCCTAAGTTAGTGGAAGAAGATGCATTGGTCTTTGTACCCCGTAATTACCTTTATTCATCTCACTATGGTTATTGTTCTGATGTTGACACCAATGTAAAATTTATTTATTGTCAGATTAGGAGATTTTAAAATGTTCCTGAAAAGGTGTAAAGGTATTTTGTAATTTATATGATTTAAGAAAATGAATGCATTCAGAAAAAGTATCCCACAGTGAAAATGTAAAATCTTACAGATTGTCTCCCTTAACATTGGAAACTTTGGAAATGAGAGATAAGAACGTTAAGGTTCAGCTGGAAAGTAACATTTTGGTAAAAAATTGGTATACCTGCACATGTTATTTTCTGGTACAAAATTAAGTATGAAGGCATATGTGTATTTCCTTGCTTTTTTCAGGAAAGTATCATTACACTGTCTTCTTTTAGAATATCTGGAAACAGGTCAATGGTAGCTCCTGTGTTGTCTTGAAACTTTGAAAGAAAATTTGGAAAAATAGAAAGTGTGAAATATCTGAATTTCCTGGAGTTCCCATTGAACGCCTACCAGATATTTTAAAAGAAGACAATGTAATGATACTTTCCTGAAAAAAGCAAGGAAATTGACACATGGCTTCATACTTTATTTTGTACCAGAAAATAACATGTGCAGGTATAGCAATTTTTTACCAAAATGTTACTTTCCAGCTGTACCTTAACCCTATAGCTTTTAAATCAATCTCACACATAGATATCTCCAGGCCTGTCAACTGTCCCGCAATTTGCGTATTTGTCACGCATTTGCTGAAGAATTTGAAATCACGCCAGATATTTTTGCGTGACAGAAAATGTCACGCAAATACGCATTTTACCTGGTAATTGTCAAGCAAAATATTTCTGTAGAAAAATTTCTAAAAAAGATCGTCTACACAGCAAAAATACGAACGCCGAAAAAAAAATGTACGCATTTCGTTCGGACTTTTCACGCGAATTACGTATATGTCACGCATTCCGTTCAAAATTTTTCGTACCCACCCCCCCCCCCCCCCTCCCCCCGTTGATGGATGTTTGAAACGCGAGCGTAGCGAGCGCGAAAAATTTGAGGTGTTCAAAATTTGCGAAGATGTAAAAAAATTTAAAATTTAGGTGTTCCCAAGTTGACAGGCCTGTATCTCTTTAATCTGAGACGAACATTAAAATATTTTGCATTGACAAAAATGTCACATATAGCTTAGGCATGAAATATTTCTCATTCCTTACAATAAGAACTCAGTATACAAGTTGTATAGTACATAGGCATAGCCAGGGAGGTGTGATGGGTGCAATCGCACCTCCCCCATAACCAATGAAAATATAATCATGAGATACAAGAAAAAAGAGCTTTAAAATGCTTTTATTTGAAGCTTTGTATCTCAATTTTGAAGGAAGTTGCATACATTTTTGTTTATGCCACAATCACACCCCCCTGACTGAAAATCAAAATATTTTTGGCGATCGCACCCCCCTGACTGAAAGCTGGCTGAGATTGATTACTCCATAAACTTCAAGATTGCAATTTGGCATTTAAATGGTTTCATTATGAAAAGCCAAGTTAGTGCTCATACAGGTCAATATTTTGAGCTCGAAAATTACTTGCAAAAAACGTTTCTGGTTGACGTGAATAAATATCATTCTTTTAGGTGATATTGTACAAAATCTTTTGCTCAGATGAAAAGAATTTAAGCACAAGTTGATGCATTGTGGATGATTTAATGCATTCATGTCTTGAATTTTAGCCTTTGAAATCAGGCTAGAGATCTAATTCAAAGTCTGATACAAGACTCATCTGCTTAAAATCTTTCACAATAGACTATTCATTGAGTCCTTGGCTGAAATCCTTTAACCAACAGTTTGGACGAATTTGGCTAATATTCTGGCAGAAAGTTCAAAGCTAATCGTTTTCTTCGGATTACAATGTTTTTTTTTAACTTTTCAGCATGAATACAGGGTTGGGACCTCAAAACCACGGAATGCCGGAGCGGCACCCTTGGGCAACTCTCTACAGAGCATTTCGTATACCCCCCTAATAAAATCTACCGGGGGTACTATAAGACACCTTTATATCTCAGACACTAATAAAGATACAGACTTGAAATTTTCAGGGAGTATTTTTAGTATGATGCTTAATCTGTATGGCGAAAATCAAGAAAAAAATGTATCCGTTGCTATAGCAACAGCCATAGAACACTATCTGTTACCTTAGAAATGTATTATTTTGTGTGTTTTCAACATTTTCTTCTTATTCTTGATACTTAAACTCTCTGAAGCATATAACATGATTAGAAGTGAAAATAAAATAATTCATCATATCATTTATGTAATATGTCTAACATTTCAGTTGCTATGGCAACATCGCTTGATAATCAGGTTCTTACATTTCACTTTCTTTAATGAGTATAAAGGCCGGGTCCAAAATAACACTTTTGTGTTATGCTCTCTAGGTAAAGAAGAGCTCCTTTAGAGGTAAATAGTCACATAAATTTGTAAAAAAATGTATAACTTGTAGTTGTAGAACCCCTCCCCACAGCCCCCAAAGTTTGACGATTGGTGAAAACTGGCAAAAAACTTTCATTTTCTAGGTTCAAATAAAAAATTCATTGGGATGCAACACTTATTGATATTCAAAGAACATCTACTGACTTTATCTGATATAACAATATGAAGATTTTAATTATTAGACAATGGGAAGTATTCTATTTGAAACATTTTAGAATCCTATCCCATAAAAATGTTGAAAAGAGGCTGTGGTCAACTTTACCATTTTGCAGCATTTAAATTTCGAAATAAATACAAACCAAGGCATTAAAACATCTTCAAATGTTACTTGACATTGATTCATGTATTACTTAGGACACTAAATTTGATATGTTAAATTTGTATTTAGTATCAGAATGAATCCAATGCAATCATACAGTAGAGACGAGCAAGGTTGGCATATAATCCAGACATTGGAATCCTTTGCAACCCATATAACAGAATCATTTTTTTTACAATTCAGAGCCAGGTGTTTGAAACATAGCAAAAATGATGATTATTGAAAACAACTAAAGATGCCTTTCCATTGGTCAACCAAGCAGCAATATGCATTAAAGTCTGACCAGGTTTGCTATCGCTCATAGTTACAGGTGTGACGTTGCAGCCAACATTTGTTTCTTCATTCGTAGTCAGATCGTTAACTTGCCATGAACTCCAGAAAAGGTTTACTCCACACACAAGATACCAAAGATGCCACCTCACACGAGCACACTCACTCACACTAGCTACTTTCCACCACCTGGCTCTGATGCTTCATGGTTTTACAAGGATTCTGCTATATATTAAGATGATGAAAACTTTGAGCTTTTAAGGACCATTTGCCATAATTTGCTTGTTGTGAATGACCCTGCTGAACAGCCTAGCTGTAACTGCCTAAAAGGAGTCTTGAAAATTTGAAAACATCATCTTAAGTGATTGGAAAGAAAAGGATAAGAAAGGTACGGCCAAAATGACTGACCCAACAATTGTACATGATGACCACCGACTACTGGCTAATGAGATGAGATGCTTTTGTGTTGACTTTATGCCAATGTCCAGATTAATTGCCAACCTCTCTATTATATGGTTACATTTCATTAAATTTCAATATGATACATGTTCTAAATATTAAGCTTACATATAGAACTGTACTCATTCATGATAACCATCATACTGTGATTGCTCAGATGGGAAAACTAATGGTTTTAATAATTAGACATTATGCCAATGTCTAGACTATGCCAACCTCTCTACAGAGCATTTCTCATACCCCCCTAATAAAATCTACAGGGAGACTATGCCAACCTCTCTACTGCATAACATTAGATGTCATTATGATACATGTACTAAATATAAAACTTATATAAAGAACTGTACTCATTTATGATAACCATCAAAGTCTGATTGCTCAGATGAGAAAAACTAATGGTTGTAATAATTAGACATTTTGCCAATGTCTAGACTATGCCAACCTCTCTACTGTATGATACCATTATTAGATTTCATTATGATACATGTATTAAATATAAAACATACATATAGAACTGTACTCATTCATGATAACCATCAAAGTCTTTGCTCAGACGATAAAAACTAATGGTTGTGATAATTAGACATTATGCCAATGTCTAGAATATGCCAACCTCTCTACTGTACTGTGATACTTATGTGCTGACTTTATGCCAATGTCCAGATTGATGCCACACATACATGTACTAGATATTAAACTTACATATAGAACTGTACTCATTCATGATAACTGTCATAGTCTGATTGCTCAGATGATAAAAACTAATGGTTGTAATAATTAGAAATTATGCCAATGTCTAGACTATGCCAACCTCTCTACAGAGCATTTCTCATACCCCCCTGATAAAATCTACAGGAGGTACTATAAGACACCTTTATATCTCAGACACTTATAATGATATCGACTTGAAATTTGCAGGAAATATTCTTACTATGATGTTCGATCCGTATCACAAAAAGTAAGAAAATATATTTATCCGTTGCTATAGCAACAGTAAAAGAACACTATTTACAAACTAAATACAAAATTAGCATATGAAAATTTAGTGTCCTATATACAAGTAATACATGAATCAATGTCAAGTAACATTTGAAGATGTTTTAATGCCTTGGTTTGTATTTATTTCAAACTTTAAATGCTGCATATGGTAAAATTGACCACACCCTCTTTTCAACATCTTTATGGGATAGGATTCTAAAATGTTTCAAATAAAATACCTCTGATTATCTAATAATTAAAAATCTTTATATTGTTATATCAGACAAAGTCAGTAAATGTTCCTTGTTCACCAATCGTCAAACTTTGGGGGCTGTGGGGAGGGGTTCTACAACTACAAGTTATACATTTTTTTTACAAATTTATGTGACTATTTACCTCTAAAGGAGCTCTTCTTTACCTAGAGAGCATAACACAAAAGTGTTATTTTGGACCCGGCCTTTATACTCA